GATGATAATTTCCCTATATGAGAAGGCGGGGGAAAAAAAAAATCCCCCCCCCCCCCCCCCTTCCTGATAGAAATGTTGAACTGGATCAGTTATGTTTGGCCAGCACAGTTGCCGCCCTCTGTGGTGATACAGCCTTATGATGAACCATCAATCTGAAATATATAGGATTTTTAGATTGTTTTGGGCAGGACCAGTTCTCTAAAATGCTTCACACTTTTTTGCCCATGAGCTTCTATTGGGAGTGAATGTGTGACTGAGGAGGGTAGAACTACGCCAGTTCAGATTTGGACTGTGTAGAAATCTGCTTTAACAGCCAAGATAGACTGTAAACACATCTAGTGTGATCTGGCTTGGGCTGTGTAGTTGTCACTTCTGAAAAGGCTTCTGGAAAAGGTGTGGTGTGCTCCCCAGGCTGGAGGGGGGCGAAGACTTGGTTTCAGACCGTCATGGTGTGCATTTTGTGGTTAGCTGCAAGGTCAGAAGAACAACAAGAATCTTCCATTGGGCTGCCCCTTATATGCTGTAGAGTGGCTTGTGAAAATACAACGCAAAGGAGTTAAGGGCTGTACGGCGGGGCATGTGGTAGCACCAGGTGTCTAAGGTAGGTGTACTCAGTATGTCCTGCCTGCACTTACAGTCTGGCTTGCTTGGTGATGCTTGTGGCTTGAAATAGGGAAAATTACATGAAAAATCAGAGCAGATACAGAATTGTAATGTCTACTTAAAATGTCATGAGCAGTTTTTTAAAAAACAGATGGCCTGAAGGAAAAAGTTGCACAAAGATTCTACAAAGGGAGCTCTGCATTTACGAGTCATGTGAAGCTCAAATTATTGTGTGTGATAAAATGTAGCTTTGTTTGTAAGATACAAAACAATTGCAGCCCAATCAAATTTTAGTGAAAAGATCAGAGCTAGACCTTAAATAGAAAGGTGGGCCAGTACACGTAAGTTTAAAAAAAACTTAGTTCTTTCAGGAGACTGAGGTTTTTTTGAAAAACAACAAAGCCACCAAAACAATACAAAAGTAGGCATTTAGGGAATAAAAGCAATCACATATGTATCATTAAAGAAAAAAGTGAAATTTGCCTGTGATGATATTTTTTTAAACATATAGAAAATAAAGGCACCCAACATATAGCTGTCACAGTTACATGGAATTTCAACTTTAACTTTCAGTTAAATACCATTGTTCATTAATAATCTTGCTGGACTTTGCTGCTGCCTTGTTCTTTAGGCTCGGTATTGACCCCTTTGCACGGGCTTAGGACTCTTTTCTTTAGTGGTGTTTTCTGTCTGATGGCTTTCTGGGAGAAATTTGACTTAATGGGAGGAAAATATTTTTTTGGATGAGTAACAGAAAGCCAAAACAGTGTAAGTTACTGTGTGCTAATAACATAAGGCTGGTATCACCCTTTTAAAGGCTCATTTTAATAATGAATCTGTTTCTTTTTTGGAATATTTTCATTGTAACAGTCTACTTCACTTTTTCTAAATAAGCAATCTCTTCATGCCAACAACTTGCATGCTTGCCAGCTGTTTGTAGTTCTGTCATAAACACTAGGTCTGTGGACACTTTATTTTTTTTGAGGCTGTATGCAATAATCCACTATTTGTCAGGCAAAACTCTCATGCATAATTCTGAAGTAAATAATACTCATAAGACTTTTTCTGTTTTTTTTAAACAAGCATTTAAAAGTGAATCGGGAATGCTGGTGTTACTAATATTGACTTTATTTTTAATTGATTAATTTTTACCAAAAATTTGATGCTCAAGAAATGTAACTTCAATAACATTCTTTTAAAATAAATAAATTGTGTGATGATGTCTTTTGGACAACAGAGGAGCTCTAAAACAATTTCTTTAAAGGCAACAACAAAACTAACATAACCACAATGTAGTATTAAAAATGAAAAGATATGTTAATTTTGGATGAACTAATACTATGCTACCCCCATCAAGTGTTTTGAATGCTGTTATTGTGTATTGGGGTTTACTTGGAAACTGAGGACCCCTTAAATGAGATATTGTGTGACATCCATACATGGTTACTATAGGCTTTCTGTGCAACTTGAGTACATCCCACAAGAAGGGGGTGCAAGATGGTAGGGCATGCATTTTGAATACTTATTTTTACTCTGAGTGGGTATTATTATAAGCTAAGATCCTATGCTCGGTTTTAATCAGTCTGCCTAGATGAGCCTAATGTTGAACATGAAGTAATTTCTCGTCGTCCCTTTCCCCCCCCCTCCATTTTTGATATTCAAGTATTGTGGTGTGTGATCTAAAATTGATTATGGGGAGATTTAGTGAAGAAAATAAACAAAAAGAAAAATCTGTTGAAGAAATACTAATTTACGGTAACTATTTTAACTCTCTGTTATACTCTTTAATAAAGCCTATTTTTTTTTTTTTTTAGTTCACATGAGAGATCCTAATAATCAACTTCACATAATTAAAAATTTGAAGATTGCTGTCAACAACATTATTACTCACCCACCTCAGCCCGGTGCCATTCGAAAACTTTTGAATGATGTTGTGTCTGTCAGTCAGCCTGCTGAGGGACTAGTAGCTAACGTGATCACAGCTGGAGATTATGATCTCAACATTAGTGGTATGTAATGATATTGTATTTTTCTGTAACTTAAACTGGAGTTTACTCTAAGGTTTCTAACCTTAATTTCAAGTTGGTGGCATATATTAAAGTTACTCTGAGAGTTGATCAGTTTTGAGTAATTTTTTTTTACTGGTTCAGATTACCAAATGTTTTTGTTTTTATATAATACTAGAAGAGTGGCTGAACTTAATAATTACTAATTTGATGTCTCCTAGTGCTGTAATTCTTCTGAATTTGTTTTAAATCATCATTTTAATGTAGAAAATACTCTTGCTTTGGTTGTGTTAATAGCTCATCAAATTAGAATTTTTCTTGTTACAAAACTGATATACTAACTTGTTACACTTGGTGGAATAAGTATCAGAGCTTATTTACATTGTTGATACTAACATACAGCTTAATGTTGAAGTTTGTCCTCCTTGCTTCTTTTGTTTGTCTGTTTACTTATTGCTTAATGTGTAGCATTCATAAAGTTGTCATAAAAAGTTTAAGGATAAAAAGGTTTTGAGGAAAGGTGTCCGATTCCTTGTCTTTTTTTTGCCATGAAACTCAATGCTTCATATTTCACTGTCAAAATGGCTAGACTATTATAAAAATGTTTTTTTTCAGATCTCAAAGGGGTAAGGCATTGTGAATAATATTGAATGAGACATGATCTTGAGAGCTGAGAAGATTAAACTCCTCCCAATTAAGACCCTAATCCATTAAAGCCTTTGAGTACATACTTAATTCAAAGCATGTATACATTGCCCTATTTAAACATAAGTAATTTGTTGTACCTAAAGTTCAACATGCGGTGAGGAATTTGGCTCTGCTGCAGCAAAAGACTGATGAACACTCATGAGGATTAGTAACTGATGTTGTCATAGTATTTGATTGTTTTATGTTGGCAATGAAAAATTGCATAATTCTGTATCTTTGATACCTAATTTACAAACCACATCCTCAACTTCATGTGAAATACTGATAGTAAAGGAAAAGACTTGAGCCTGGAATTTCTAATTTTTGACAGCTATTGGAAACTTGGACACTTTTTCAGCTTCCATGCCCCCTTTTATCTGTGAAATTGGTGAATTGCACTTTTTTTGTGAAATTTTTTGAGGGCAAGTCTGCTTCAATTCTAGAGATTGGAAGACCCTAAGACAGCAGAATGGTTTCACTGAAGAGTCTTTTCCATATCATTTCTAATGACCTCGGTTTAGAAGTGAGGTATTGGAAGAAAGGAAGAGAAATAGTGACTATGTCAAGCCGTGCTTTGCAGGTGTAGAAGCAAATAACTCTCCTTTTGTTTTCTTTATTTGTTGCTGGAACCTCAGATGTACAAATTAGCGTACTTGATCATCTTCTGTCTCTCAGTGGTTAGGTTCTTATTTCCATTCAGACTTGCTGTATGTTTATTTGAGGGAAGGAGAGATGTGTAATCTGCTTAAGATCATAGAGAAGGACAAAATCATGTAACAAATTCGTAGTTTTGTGGTACCGCTTTTTAGGGCTTTGACACAGTGTTCTTGATGAAACTTGGATCCCATTACATTGTAGAAGGACACGGGGAGGTCCCTAGCTTGTCAGGTAGAGTTCCTTTTCTGTTTAGAAAAGTAGGAGTGTTTACTAATGAAACTTACTTTTTTCAACTTTGTTAGAGTATTTTATTGAAAACCCATGAAAGCATTCATTTCTGGCAACAAAACGTAATTTTTTGGCGTGGAAATGTGAAATACTCTAACCTGTTCTTTAATTTGCTCTTTTTCTTTTGGTGAATTAGTTTTCTAGGTTAGCAATATTAAAACACATTTCCTTACTCTTTAATGATGATCAAGTGCAGTATATTTTGAAGGAAGGCAAACTTCACTCATCTATGAGTGTTTGTGGCACTGGGATCGTGATCCTGATATTTTTTTTTTTTTAGAAAAGTTTTAGAATTGCTGTGGTGAATTGGATTAACTGTTTGTAATCCTGCTTTGCTGCACTTGTTTAATAGTCTCATAGCTCTATGAGAGACCTGGTTGATTGCTGAAGGAGTGCTTACGTTCAGCCATGCTTGCTTTTCCCATGTACTGGTGTGTGTGGAGAGTGAGGAGAAGTGTTCCCACTAAAGACTTCAGTTCTTTTTTAATTCTAGATAATTTTCCAGCAGGATCACTTCCTTGGCTGTGTTTGTTCAGGGCTGCATGATGCTAATGCTGGCATGCAGCAATACAAGAATATGATGACGATAAGGGAGAATGTTGGGGCAACCACTTTCAGCAGCTAACATCTTCAATTACTTGAACTGAAGTACTACAGAGATCTCAGAAATTAGTGTCTTACATTTATATATCTTCCAACTAGAAAAATTGAAATATTATCTAAATATAACTCTTAATTCTTTAATACTTTATAGATTTGTGTTTTTATTCAAGCCCATAACTTGGTCTGAACCAGAAATTGATATTGAATTCTATTGAAGTACACTGTGAAATGTGGAGGAGCCTGAAATGTTCATGACTCAGGTTAGCTGAAATCAAATGTTTTCAGTCCCTGATGGGCCTGCATGGTATAGATTTTCTAATTCATGCTACTGGAGTATAAAAGCCAATAGTGTGTTTGTACCTGACCCTTTTTAGTATAATAACATCGTGTTTTTTCTGTCAGATCGCTCAGTTAAAGCTAGTGTTCCTTGGTACAGTAATTGGAAAGAGACACTGATGGAACTGAACACATCCACGTTTTATTCAGGTATATTTTGTAGTTGGTGCCAATTTGCCAAATTGCCCTTTATTCCTTTTTCATGTGCCCCACCCACCTTTCCTTACCATCTGCTACAACTGTTTAACACTTTTCTTGGCGTAGATGTGTGTTCCTCCATTTTTTCCCCCCAAATTAAAAATTGTTGGTGATGGTTGTTTAGTTTTTCTTTTAGTCACATTTCTACTCCTGTTAACCGAAATCATTTGGTCTTGCCACAGAGTCAATAAGTGCAAAGTGGTGGTGGGAAACAGCCTGATGCTGTAAAAGCACTCTCTTGTTTGATCCTATGGAACTCTATACTGTCATTGTTCTGTATTTCAGATGTAAATACTTTCTGCTTCTCTCAAGACCTTCCTTCTCAGGGGATAATAATGCTTTTCAAATTGGAACTGAAGTCCTGTGCACATATGCTTCTGCTATACTGAAATTCTTTCTGGAATATGACTGGAAAAAAAAAAAAGCTTTGTAATACACTTTTACCTAGTTCATAAAACTTACTGCTACCAAAATGCATTGGTTATTGCATTTAATAATAATCTGTTATTATATACTCTCAACTTACAGTGGGGCTCTGGTGTGGTCTCAACAGCCAGATGTTGATGGTTTTCAGCTTCAGATATTAACAAAGTTGATGTCTTCAGTTAGTAATAGCTATCCTTTCAATAGTGTCTGTTCAGATGCTGTTAAATGCCTTCCTTTCTGAATGTGCTAGAGTACCAGTATGTGTGAAATTCATCTTGTCAGTTAGGTAGCTAAAAAGTACAGAACCTCATGAAGTAAACTTCTCATTCTTAAGCTGTTATGTATGAACATTACTTACCAATTATTTTCTTAACAATTTCTGAACACGTTAACAAGTTTGCCTAAACTTCAGCTCTGCTTGTTTAGTGTACTGGAAACATATTACTGGAAAAAAGCAAAACATACAGGTCTGTGTACCTAAATGACACAATGTTGCTATAACGTGTTATGAAATGTTACATCAGTGAATTTTTTCAAATATTTTTTCTAATATGTTGTACATTTATTATTTTAAGTATCAACTATAAACTATTACAGTTCTGTAAATGCTCTTGAGCGAATATTGTTAGTGTATGTTGTGGTTGTGTAGAGGGAATACAGTTGCCTTTGTAGCCACTTCCAAGGTTCTTAATAGGTTGAATAAGGAAAAATAAACAATCTGCCCCACAAAACAAAGTAGTACTTCCCTGTTCATAGCTGTGTCAGATTTAAAGAAAAAAAAATTGCCATGGTTCAGCTGTAAAACAGAAATGGAGAACTGAAAACAGAGCTTGAAACTAAAATGCAGTTGAAATTTCTACCTTAAGTAGTTTAACATTGTTTTGAACCTGAGTTACTACAAGGCTTTGTTACACTTGTGAAAAATAGATATATGAATCACTTACTCAAGGTTTGTTTTTTAATAACAAGCTGTTCTTTTCCTTGATTTAAATAGTTGGCATATTTACATGTATAGCTTAGCAAAGCCAAGAGTTTTTTTATACCCTGGATGGCTGCTCAGAGAGCAGTTGCTAGAAAGGCTGTAATCAAAAGTTAGAAGTTTGCCTCCTATTCATCTTTTTTTGTGAGATGCACTGACTGCTAGACTGAGTTCAGTTATGAAGTGTCACTATATCTGACTTTTGTGTGGATGAAGCTCTAAGATGACCTGGCAATGTAAGATTAAACAAAATTATTTATCTTAATGCACTAGAAGATAATTCCAATGTAAAAATGAAACTCAATTTCCGAAAGTCAGCTAAGAAATCAAGTTCATGAATTTTTTTGGGGTGTTTTTTTTGGGGGGATGAGGGGAAGGTTTACGAAACATTAGAAATATTTATGCAAGTTAAAGCAAGGAACATGTTTCCTTGGGGCCATATAAAGAAAATAAATACTTTCAGGAGTTCTTATTAATGTATTTTTTTCCTGTACTAGTTGTTTTCTAGTTTGCAGATGATTTCACTGTGAAATCAGGTTATTTGAAGTGGACTGATTTTGCTCTGGGATTTTTTTTCCACTCAAGGGAAGGAGTTGCAGAATTGAGATGGCAGAAGACAGGCTTGAAAGAAGAAATAGTACTTCATTGCTAGACTGATAATTGGAGTGGAGAGAAACAGAAAAGATTTCTAAGTTCACATGTTCTTTGGATGTCGCAGACATACTTGGTTTCCCTTGATTTGTTACTCTTAGAAAAATGAAATCCTTATTGTAAAAGGGCATTTGAACGTGGCAGGCTAACATTAGAAGGCATTAATGGCACAGCTCAGATCTGAGTTTTTAGCTTTTTGCATCTCTGCTTTGCCAGCTGACAGCTGAACTGTTTATTTTTAGAAGGGCAGAGGAAGGGGACTGCTGTCAAGCCAAGTCACAACACTTGCAAAAAGCTTTAGACAAACTGTCAGGATAGAGTTTTGGTAATCTTTAGTTACTCTGCATATGCAAAAATTAATTCGGCTTCTTGGTTAATTCTTACATCCCTAGCCGAGGCAAGTTGAATGACTGTTAGAAGAATTTTGATTTGTTTTTGCTTTCCCAAATGTGTGTGTATTTAAAGGGGTGGTATGGAGTAGTTACTCTAACAAGGACTGAATATATGTGTCTGCAATATTGAGGAAGTTGGTGCTTAAGATACTATTCAGTCTCACAGGGTTTGATTCAAAATGTTACTGTTTCTCCCACTTGTATGTATTTTAGATGCTTTCTCCTTAGCCTGTCTCCCCTTCTTTATTCTGCTGTGCAAACCTTGTCAGAGTTTGCAAGCTTCACTTTTAGGCGTACTCTTTTGTATTTCCTTTTCATAAATGAGTAAACAGAAGTTTTGCCAAATATTCTAATTCCTTCTATCTTATTGTGTATTCCAGCTACTACTCCCTGGTTTGAGTCTTACAGAGAGTGCTTTCTTCAGTCCATGCCTGCATCAGATCATGAATTCTTAAACCACTATGTTGCATGTATCCTTTTGAGTGTTACAGACCTCTTGAGTGAAGGCTGTTACAGCTGGCTGCAGAAATGTAATGTAGGAGACGTTGAAATTTTGCAATAACTCTTTGCCGTTATGAATTGAAATATATCTTTTTTCTGATATATCTAACTATACAGACTAATTTTCTAAGGGGGTCAAGGTTTTCTTTGTGGTTAGTGTGCATGTTTGGTTTGTTTTTAAAAAGCCACACTCTTTTATGTACCAGACTGAACTCTAAGCTAATACCTGTAAGCTAAACTTCCTCATCCTAAAACACTTTCTGCTGTAGCTCTTTAGGTATTTGTTGACTGTCCCTGATGTACAACGGAGGCTTGTGTATTTGGGATGCACCTGCGGCTTTTTATAGCTTTTTCTAGCAGATGGAAGGGGGAGGTTGGGGAGGGTGTTTTGGAAAATTGGTGAACTTTGAGCTATTTTGGACAAAAAGAAGTCTGGAAAGATGCCTAAATGCTTTAATTTTTTTCTTTTTTTACCAAAACTTATGCCTGATTTGCTTGTCTACAGGGAAAATAAAAATACGCACTACTTCATAATGTACCTGGTGTTTAGCTTTACAATAATTATAATGCTGCAGGTTTTGTAAGACCTACTCTGTTTCTAACTCTTTACTGTGCTTTATCATTTTAGTATGGTGGAACAAGTATGCTAGTAGCCATTAGAGAGAACCATTTCTGCACAACTAACTTGGCAAAATACTGATTCTGGCCTTTGACTTCTAAATTTTATTCACATTTAAAGTACAACTTACTTTCTGGCTTCTCCGAATTAATGTCGTTGATTTGGTGACTTAGATGTAGCAGAGCAAGAGGTTCCTTATTAATGATTATGTAGTTGAATTGAAGTAAAAATCTGAACACTTCTGCTTTTTAATCAGATGTTGCTGTGTTTATGAATACTGGCTGTTATTGTTGCTGAGCTGATACCTTAAAGTCCCAACTCTCCTTGGAAGTTGAAGACTAAAGTGCACTGGGGGTGAATGTCAGTTACATGTTTCATATGTGAACAGATGGCCTGTGTCTAAAATCTTAAATGAACTATTAGCTATTATGTATTGGCTTAGACTTGTATTTAGTGCTAGAATTGGAGCAAACACCTGTTTCATCTTGTGTTACAAATGTTAGTTAACCGACCATTTAAACAGTGTTTTTTGTTGAGACTAAGGCTAATGTCTAATTGCACATACTTTTGTTGTAGTGTGTTTTATAGGCTTAAATGTTGTACTCATCTATTTTATTTTATACACTTCCTATTTTATTATATAATCGGTGATTGTTCCTGGGTTCTTCTGGTAAATGTCCTTAACATGAATTTAGGTATGCTTGTAGTTTCTTCTAGTGAACCAGAGCCTGTGGAGCAATTTCTGAAGCTGTCTCAAGAACAACATCGAATTCAACATAGTAGTGAATACTTATACCCTAAGTGGTTTATACCAAACACGCTCAAGTACTATGTGTTACTGCATGATGTAAGCACAGGAGAAGAACAAAGGTGAGTTTTCTGCCTTCAGTGAACTTACAGATGAACTCTTTGACTGAAATGTTTGCGGTTATAAATTCTGTTGAGATTAGACATTCAAGAGGATCCATTAACTAGTATGCTAACTATTACCAAGGCAGATTTCCTTAAGTATTATTTTTAGGTCTACTTTCTGTGTTCATATAAAATTGAAAGAATCAGTCCTAGCTTCTTGAGGTAGATGTGTTCTTTGCTAGGTCTCTGAAGTAATTCTCAAAGATTCTCAGTTTCACTCTTGCATAAAGGACTGCTTTAAAAATAGAAGAATTTTCCTTTTAATCCCTATGGATAATAGTCTAAAATAGCTTGTTGCAGTACACACTTAGAATTAGTTTGATAACAAGACAAGCTAAATATTGTTTTATTTTTTCAGAGCTGACTCCATTTATGAAGAGATGAAGCAGAGGTATGGAACTCAGGGTTGCTATTTGCTGAAAATAAATTCTCGGGTGTCTAACAGAGGAATAGATGAACAGATACCAGATCCTTGGAGTCAGTACCTTCAGAAAAATACCATCCAGAACCAGGTATTGCAGTATTTTAAAAACCATTTATAAGGTGCATATGAGATCCCATTTTAGTTGTGTTTAAATTTTGCTTTAGTATTATGTATGTGTTTCTGTAGAATGGACTGATAGGCAGTCAAGATACTTCTAACATAACTATGACTTTTTGTGAGGGCATAAAATGAGTCCTCTCTCAAAGAACTCTGCTTGATGCTACTGAAATTGACAGTAAGGAGCACCGAAATACTAGACTATCTGAAACAGACTGACAGGGGCACTGAGATAATAGACTTGTGCTTTATGCACTGACAAGAGCAAGTAACCTCAGAAATGTCCTATTCATAACAACTTCATGTTGATTAATTTTCTTCACTCATAAAATTGGATTTTTTTTTTTCCAGGTCTTCTGTACCACACTAAACAGTGTGGGTGTGTTGTGTTGTGGGGGTATGTGTGGCTTTTCTGGTAACTTCTTCCAGTCCAGTCCAGTCTGGTCTGTCACCTGCTAAGATGGCAAATGATAGTGTGTGTTAGCTCAGAGTCTTGAGTTCAATTTGCCATAAATGTCTGTATTTTTGGCTTCAGGACCAAAAATATTCCTCCTTGAGTTTGCTTTTGACTACCCTGCAATTTTAACTGCATCTGATTAAAAGGTTTGTTTATGGAATCATAGTTCTTTAACAAATCTAGCTGGCAATGGAAAGTCAACACATTCTGTGAGCTAAGAGGACCAGTAAGTAATGTTCCACCATAAACTAATTAGATCTTTTTTGTTTTTTCTGTCCCATGTCAACTGTCCAACACAAAATATTTTTTTTTGTATGAGCTTGTTCAGGAATTGCTTTAGGGACCATATATTCACTGTTGTAGACGTTGCTGTGTAAGAGTTGGAGTTGCTTCCTTTAGTTGACAGTTGAAGCTATTTGAGCAAGCCAGAAGATACTTGCTTCATTTGTTGGTGAATATAACATATCTTTACGATAGAACAAGTTCTTAAAGCCTCACAATCAATTTAAGAAATGAATATATATGAACAAACATGCTTTCTTAATAATTAACTGTTACTAAAGTTAACAACTACTGTTAACTGACTTGTGTGTGTGTGCTCTAGTATTCTTAAAACTCTGACTTTTTTTCTCTCTTTTTTTTTTTTTTTCCTGGCAGGATTGTTTTGAAGATTGTCCTTATGCTGTCATTTCAAACAAGAATACTGATCCCTTGATATCAGATGGCTTAGACAGTGAAATTAAAGGTATTTTTATAACTTCTATCAAAGCATTGATGTGATAACATTTATACAGCTATCTCATGTTTTGGACAGTAATGATTTGTTAGGGAATTCAAAGCAGTAATTTTGGAAATCCTCAAAGATAGTGTAACCTGCTGTTCACAAAGAAAAATGCTATGGTGCTGATCTACTGGATTGGTGGTAATTGGTAGATGGCTATTGATGTATTTGGCTCATCTTTTGTAAGATTAACCATATTGTCTGCCAACTCTGACAATTAATAAAAAATTACATAGTATTAAATGGCTAATTTTCATCATAGCAAAAGTTCTGGTTAGTGTGCTCTGTAGCTTGGGAGCTGAGGTGGTATTTTTTTTATTTTGGTTTTAAATCTGGAAATGACAGAATAGTGACTTAAGTAGTAAGTTGGCTGGAAGAACTTCTTGCACAATTGAGCTCGTGGATGGCAGAGGGCAGTAAATCAAATTGGGTGCAAATTAATGCATGGCCTTTTAAATTTTTTTTTAAAGCAGCTGTGTAGGATTCAGATGAGAAGCATCATCAAATAGGGAAGAAGTGGAAGTACCCCACACTTTCTGGCCTGACTCAGCCCAGATCCTTCAGACCTGACTTGAAAGGCATGAGGGGATCTAGTGTGTATGTAGGAGAGCCTGCAGTTGCCTAGAAAAAGTATCTTTCTAGGGCCTTACAGCCCAGATGTAGTCTGCAAGCTCTTGTTTGACCTTTTACATACCCAGCTTTACATTTCATGAGTAAAATCCATTAAGAACTTGCTTTCACAGCTCAACTTTGCTTAGTGCTAGCAAGGGCCAGATAAAGCAAGCTGACTTATTTATCATTTCCTTTCTGTATAAGGAAGAGAACTATTTAAGTCTTAGAGCAAAATGGTGTCTTGGTCTAGTCTGGATAGCTAGATGCGGTAGTGGTCAGCAGCCCTTCCCACTGAACTAAGAGGATTTTGGAAGAGGTTGTTTTACATCATGATTGCTCAGAAGGGCATGTAAATGATTTTTGGGTTTTTTTAACCTTAAAACAGAATCAGAGAAAAGTAAATGGATCCAGTGGAGCCATTGTAGTAATTGCTGCGTTTCCAGCTTTTCATGAGTATTTGACTTTGACTTTAAAGTCTTCATAATTTCCCTTCAATATTGTTGATACTTGGTGATTCTTTGCACTGTAGTTGAGAACCAAAAATGTGTGTACTTAGCCATGTTGTATTTCCTGAGATACCCTGAGCTTTCTGAAGAATTTCAGGAGTGATGTAATACTCAGGTACTGTTGGGCTGCTGTCTGCTGAGCATTGATCTATAGTGCAGAATAATTCATGAGTAGTTTTGCTGAACAGAATTCCGAGTAAGGAAAACTTCAAAGTAGTTAATAAAAATGACATTTAAAACCCAAAATATTTAAATAACTTTATACTTACTGGGGTTTTTGTTTCAATCTTTCAATAGATGTCATGCCAAATAACTTTAAGACTCACCCCCTTCAACTGGATCATCCCTGTGGCAGTTTGGATAGCACTGATTACATGAAGGCTACTACATCATTGCAAGACACAAAGAAATCAAATTCTGGAACACCACACGGTGCTTGTTTAACACTTACAGACCATGATCGGATTAGACAGTTCATACAGGAATTCACATTTAGGGGACTTTTGCCACATATAGAGAAGACAATTCGGCAACTTAATGATCAGGTCAGTTTACTTTTAAAAACACTTTGTGCTGTAATAAGAAAAAACAGTTGGGGTACAAATCCAGTTATCCAAAAATCTGTTCTGAAATTCTTACTTCCTTCTGCATCTGATGATTCAATGATCTTATTGAAAACTAAGTGAATTCAAGAGAAATAGCTAAAAAGTTACTTTTTTGGCTCAATTTATCTTTAAAAAAACCCCAAAAAACAACCAACCAAAAAAGCCCATTTTATCAACTGAGCTTCAGTGCCAGGTGGCTTCTTGGTAAAAGTCTGTCTGAACTGTTATCAGGGATATCTGTCCTTGCTCCTAAAATTTTTAAATTTTATGCTTCTGGATGGTTCTGGCACGGGGAACAAAATATACATTTTGTTTCAACATTAGAATGCACAATGAAAGTTAAATGTATTTTCATCAGTAATTGTCTGCAAAACAGCTGCATACTTTGGGGGTTCGTATATGCTGACCATGTTTATGCTTCGAAAGTTTTATGAAGAAACATAAAAAAAGTGCATACCTGAAAGGTAGCAAACAGCCTTACCATTATGAATGTAGTAATACATTTCTAGTAGTAGTAAAAAAATCATGATGTTATGATTTTTAAAATTATCTTTAAAAAGAGATGTAGTTTGCCATGGATCAAGGGAACGATAATTCCCTTTGGAAGTTTTCCTTATTAGTGGAAATTATCTAAAAGAATGAAGTTGTGTAACCTTGATTGCAGGTATGACTAGTACCCTTAACACTTGAAATTGGTGTTTGCAGTGTGGTAATGCTTAATGTGGGTGGTGATGGGGAGAATGTTCTCTCTTAAAGTGTGTACTTAGTCTATATTTTAGGTTGGACTAACACCAGAAATTAGATATTCTGTGAGATTTCAAACAGATAAATATTTCAGGTCTTAGGATTGAGTTTGTCTGCAGCTTACAGCAACAATGGTGAACCTCAGCTGTCTGAAATAGAATGAATATATGAATTGCTACTTCTGCCTCAATGTCAGTGATTCATTCTAAAGAAGTTATTGGTTACTTTATTGTTTTTTATTTATTTCTGTTTTATGGAAAAAACAGTTTAGGAAGTCTTAATGAAGCTTGGGGTTTTATATTGGTTTAACTTATATTAGTGTATCTCTTGCAATGTAGTGCTTTAATTTAGTGTCTTTTTGCAGTTAATATCCAGGAAAGGTTTGAGTCGATCGCTGTTTTCTGCTACTAAAAAATGGTTTAGTGGCAGCAAGGTTCCAGAGAAAAGTATAAATGAACTGAAGAATACTTCTGGTTTGCTGTAAGTAGTATCAGTCCTTACCTTTAGATCTAAACTGAAAATGTACCTGTTGTTTGGGGCAGGGAAGGCCTGTGTGTATTTGGTGTTCTGAAAGTGAACTAAATCAGCAATATCGTAAAAGACTTTAATTGGAGAAATCATGAAAGGTACTATGCCTGAACTTGTACAATAAAAGAGTAGCAGAACTTAAAGAAAAAGGAGATAAAAGAAACTGTTTATATAGCCATCTTCCTGCTATATTTACAGTGAAACTTTCTAAGCTACAAAAAAGGTACATTTTTTTTTAAGAGTAATAGTAATAAAAAGAACCTGTGGTCTGCTGTAAGGGATTTTTTTTTTTTTAATTAGTAAAAGCTTTTTCTTTTCTTATACATGGGGTTTGGCTTGAACGGGTGTTTTTGTTTATGTAACTATGTATTTTACTGCAGTTGAGTATTAAGTATATTTCTTTTGTGAGTGTGTTTGAGAGCTAAATTAAAGGGAATTTCATACTTTTTGCACCTGCATTTTACACTAAAATCAGATTTTAAATTTTAGCATTTTATTCATTCTCTATGCTTTGTAATTTCCCTCTACGAATGAGGATGTATAATAATGAAAAGTACTCTTTTCTACTGCCTTAACCACAGAAGTCTAAATAGTTCTTGGACATTACCTAGCCAAAGTCAATGTCCCTGACAGTTACATACAGCTTTAAATTTCTATGTTGTTTGTCTTTTGGATTCATAATCGAAATGTTGGTAATTTCAGCTTTCCGTATTGAACTTGTGAGCATGGTTTCCTTCCTACAAAGTTTGACTAATGAGTGTCTGTGAAAATGTGTTTGATCTTCACTGAAGTGATTCATATATATTTGATTAACCAAAAGTTAGTCTGATGCTTGCCAAGGATAGGAGCTTGCCCAGTGTTTTGGATTAAGGCATAGCTTTTTAGGAGATTCTTTCTTTCAAGAGAAATGAAGAGAGATAACTACAGTTAGGTGAACAAAGTCTTTTTTTTTTTCCTTCTCATACAGCTCTGTTCTAACAGTTAATCTTACTGAGCAGTTTCAGTGATAGCTGCATACTTTTTTTCAGTATTTCGTGGCTAAGAGGAATGCTTGCTTTGAATGTTAATGTAACAGTGAATCTTGTTAATCAGAAAGTAGGGTGTGAAACCAGTATACATGTGTCAGGAAGCAGCTTCACTTTTCTTAGCAGTTTTGGGTAAGGCTGAAGCAATGCAGTTTTTATTCCTACTTTGTCAATAGAGATTAAGATGAGAGGGGAAGACTTTATAGAGCATGTCTTGCTCTATTTATTAAAATTATGACTTTGAATTTAAATATTTGTATTTATAGGTATCCACCAGAAGCACCAGAGCTTCAAATCCGGAAAATGGCAGACTTATGCTTTTTGGTGCAACACTATGAACTTGCATATAGCTGTTACCATACAGCAAAGAAAGACTTCTTAAATGATCAGGCAATGCTTTATGCAGCTGGAGCACTGGTTGGTACTTCACATAACAAACATTCTGTGAACTTTTCCTCATAATCTCTAATAGTTGTCTGAAGGTAACAAAATGCAATCTCTTCCCTCCACCTCCAAATTTATAAGGGTCTCGCCAAATTTGCTGCATATCTTTAGCAAATCCTAAAGTGTTCTTAAATCTATTGGCTGCTGTTTTATGAAGGGAATAAAGATGTGAATAAAAATTGAAGAGTTAGTTCTTAAAGTGTGAAATGTGGAAAGGAGAATACCTAGAACGCGACTGCCAGCAAAATGGATCTTTAAACTTGTGGTTTGAGAACTCAAACAGGTGTGAAATAATTCTATAGTATCTCTTTTAGACTTTGGCAAAATAATTCTTTGCCAGGAAGTCAAGACTATGTCACTATAAATACGGTATTGTACCTTTGTTTTATTAAGACTTTTGAGAGATATAGTTTGAGTGTGTCACTACTGAACTTCACTGTAAACATATACTCATTCATTAATTTCTCTTGAGACTGAAGATACATGTGACTAAAATAATTTTCAATAATGTAAATGGGAACACTGGGGAAAAACAAGATGTTTGTTTTAACAGTTTTTAGAAGCTATGTTTTGTAGACTTTGGTTAACTAGATTAAATTTGAAACTTTACTTTGCAGAGCTATGGAAGCATTCTTGTACACTGTCTCATCTTGATGTAAAATGCTCACATAAATGTGTATTTTTGCAGTACAGACAGCTGCTCTGCATTTGGATAATTTGAAAAGTTATCTTAATTTCTTAATGAATGTTTTGTATAGAGGTCTTAATTATGAATTTTTGTCTTTGAAGCAGTCTTTACTTACTGCAGAAGAACTTTGCTATCCTATCTTCACCCTGTAAGGAAAGAAGTAAAATTTCAGAGTGCATGTTTATTAGAGTTTCCTTGGAAGTTGAGAATATAACTTCATTTAAGCAAAACTCGGAAAACAGTCCTCGTCCTAAAACAGATGGTAGTGCTACTTTATCAGAAAGATTATTCCTGCAATAGGAAATTATCTCCTGGACTTGTAAAGCAGTACTGGATCAATGCTTCTGCATAGTCTTGGGGGTACCATCAGCTGAAAACACTTATTTCAGTGTGTATAACTGTCTTGCTGCTGTCTGGTTAATTATAAGCAGAGCCATAAGTAGGCTACTGTATGAAATGTTTTATCAGTTACAGTGTGTTGGGTACACTTTTAGATGTCAGTAACTGATTAGATGAAGATCTTGAACTAGAAGTTGTTGAAACATGTTCCTCAGCATTTTGAGGAACAGTTTGTTGAAAAAACTACAGTGACAGTACTGAATGTCTCTTGTAGGAAATGGCAGCAGTATCAGCTTTTCTTCAGCCTGGAGCTCCTAGGCCGTATCCTGCTCATTATATGGAAACAGCAATTCAGACCTATCGAGATATCTGCAAGTATGTTGTTTACTTTTGTACTGATCCAATGAAAGTTGAAAGGCCTGGTGGTTTAACTTTCTTCCCCTGCACACTGATAGTGCCAGATGACTGAAAGATCACAGAATGATGGTAACTTTTAAGATACTTTAGTTTATCTAGGGTAACATGGAAGGGGATCTATGCTGTTCTTAACAGAGTGCTTATTAAACTTGTGTATTGGATTTACCTGGTAAGATTTTGATAGTGGAGTGGCTGCAGGGATGGTTTCTGTGAGAAGGCAGCCTGAGCTGCCCCCATGTCGGACAGCCGGTTTTCACCCAGCGCCAAAATGGACCCACTGCTGCCCAAATCTGAGTCTGTCAGCAGTGTTGGTGGCACCTCTGTGATAACATGCTTAAGGAAGGGTAAAAGTAGCTGCACAGCAGCTGAGAGAGGAGTGAGAAAATGAGTGAAACAGCCCTGCAGCCACCAAGGTCAGTGAGGAAGGAGGGGGAGGATGTGCTTCACTGCAGCCTGTGGAGAAGACTGTGGTGAAGCAGGGTTATCCCTGTGCAGTCCATGGAGGACCACAGTGGAGCAGGGATCCACACTGCAGCCTGTGGAGGACCTAGTGCCAGAGCAGATGGATGTGCCCTGAAGGAAGCTGCAGCTTGTGGAGAGCCTATGCCAGAGCAGGTTCCTAGCAGCTGTGACCTGTGGGGAACCCACACTGGAACAGTATGTTCCTGGAGGACTGCATCTATGGGAGGGACCCCACACTGGAGCAGGGGAAGAGGAGGAAGGAGTGGCAGAGATGAAATGTCAGATGAACTGACCTCAACTCCTTTTCCCTGTCCTCTTGCCACGCTTGTGGAGGGGGAGGAGGTAGAAGAGTTGGGAGTGAAGTTGAGCCTGGGAAGAAGGAGTCGGAGGAAGGTGTTTTAGTTCTTTTTATTTATTGCTATCCTGTTCTGTTATTAACTGGCAATAAATTAGTTTAATCTTTGCCAAACCAAGGCTGTTTTGCCTATGACTGTAAGTGGTGAGTGATCTCCCTGTTGTTATGTCAGCACATGAGCTTTTCAATCTAATTTTCTCCCCCTGTTTTGCTGAAGGGTTTGTGATAAATCAGCTTGGTGGGCACCTGGTAACCACCAAGGTCAACCCATCACAACTTGTTTCTGGCTGTTGGACTTCTTGTTTATCAGATAATTTAGTTAGATCATTTTAGTTGGTATTTTTATAAATACAATACTGTCTTCAAAAATCCTCTCTAGCTTTGGCTTTCAAAAAGCTACTGTTACAGTAGGGTAACACACTTTATGTGTCAATCTGTTTGTGGTTGTTTTGCAGGTGATAAACTTAATAATTTTACTTTAAGAAGGATAAACAACAGAACATCAGTCTGATGTGATACGGAGAAAGTTTGTCAGATTTGAGGTGAAAAGTTTTCCATGGTTTATTTTGATAAATATTTATTAATACATCTATGTTTTTGTTTTTAGGAACATGGTTCTGGCTGAACGCTGTGTGCTGCTTAGTGCTGAAATCTTAAAAAGTCAAAGCAAATATTCAGAGGCAGCTGCTCTTCTGATTCGTTTAACCAGTGAGGTAAACCAGTAGCATTTTCCAGCCTTGCCTTCCCTCTGTTTTGTTTACTTACCCAAGCACTTCTACATTACATTCTAATTCTTGTCCTATGATATTTTCTAGCCAAAGGTAGCAAATGAGACAGTATAAAGCATGAAGAAAAGCGCTTACACTCCAAGTGAAGAAACTAGTAGTGTTACTCTTTTTCTTTGTAGTCAAGTGACTTGCTTGACTTCTTTAAATGTGCTAAATGTGCATTTGTTATCTTTGGCTTTATAACTAATTTACTTTGACATCTGCTTAGGTCTTGTATGGCATACTTTAAGAACTCATGGATTGAAAGTATTAGCATGGCTTGCCAGAGACTTAATGGATACTATCCTACATATAATCAGAAGTTCTGTATAGTTTAAGTAACTATGGCATTACTGTAGCTCAGCTGTTATGAATCATTAGAGACTTACTGTGTGACTGCTAGTCTGAACATTTCTATAATATTAATTGGTGGAAATTAAGCATGGAATTAGCTTCTAACAGCCCAGAAAGGGTCTTGCTTGAAAAGGAGCGAAACAAATGTAATATCAGTAGTAGTATAGCATCTTCTGTGTAGCTTGAGAGGAAAGTCTAACTGTCAGTTCTGTCATTGTGGCCATCTGCACCAAATGTGATGCTTCTGAGACTTTCTGGGACAGATTAAGCATGGAATAAATTTGCTTAGTTCTGTAAGTTTCTCTCTCGGGTGTTTTTGTAGCTTCATTCTTGCCCTTTCAACTTAAGCTTGCTACCAAAATTTGTGTGAGCAGTGTAAGTTATTTAAGCAAGGAATTTCCTAGAATCATAGAGTAGTTTGGGTTGGAAGGGACCTTTTAAAGGTCATCTAGTCCAACCCCCCCTGCAATGAGCAGGAACACGTTCAACTAGATCAGGTAGCTCAGAGCCCCGTCCAACCTGACCTTGAATGTTTCCAGGGATGGGGCATCTACCACCTCCCTGGGCAACCTGTGCCAGTGTTTCACTACCCTCACTGTGGAAAATTTCTTCCTTATATCAAGTCTAAATCTACCCTTTTTTAGTTTAAAACAGTTACTCCTTGCCCTGTCACAACAGGCCCTGCTAAAAAGTCTGTCCTCATCTTTCTCATAAGCCCCCTTTATGTACTGGAAGGCTGCAATAAGGTCTTCCTGGAGCCTTCTCTTCTTGAGGTTGAACAACTCTCTCAGCCTGTCTTCATGGAGTGGTGTTCCATGATCCCTCTGACTCTTTTTGTGGCCCTCCTCTGGAGCCTTTCCAACAGGTTCATGTCTCTCCTGTGCTGAGGGCTCCAGAGCTGGACACAGGACTCCAGGTGGGGTCTCACCGGAGTGGAGTAGAGGGGCAGAATCCCCTTCCTCGACCTGCTGGCCACACTTCTTTTGCTGCAGCCCAGGATGTGGTTGGGCTTCTGGGCTGCGAGCACACATTGCTGGATCATCCAGCAGTACCCCCAAGTCCTTCTTGGTATTGCTGCTCTCAATTTAAATACTGTTGGCTCTGCACAATCATTTTCTGACTTAAAATTATATGTAGTATGCTTGTGTTGCCTTTTGGCAGTTGCAAGGAAAATCTTCATAGGATACTATATACTCAGGGTATATTTGTAGTCAAGACAAATACTTGGACATCACTGATAATATGGAGTTCAGTTGTGGTAAAATGAAGTAGATTCTGTTCTGTTTGGTTAAAGTAATATAGCTGTGTCTTGGCATCAGAAGAGAAAGGGGTAATAATAAGAAATTGTACATTATTAAGAAAGTATGCTGGTTTTTGTGATGCAAAGTCATTAAGTTCCGTTGGTCCCTCTGTTTTTCCTTCATCCTGTTAAAGCTCTTACTTTTTGTTTCTAGCCTTAATATCTGTCTGCAGGGGGAGGGAGGGGAAAAGGTAACAGAGTGCTTCAGAGGTAATGGTAAGTGTTAGAAACTGTAGCCTGAGTAACTGAAAAAGCAGAAAATATTTGTTGTTACTCATACTGAAACAGGTTGCTATATAAATCTTTCCACTGGAAAAAAGTACCAGTGTGTTTGGTATTGAGCACTATACGTATGACAATAAAAAATACTTTTAGTCTTATTTTCTTTTCTATGCTCACAGGTACATATAATGTTTGTATATAAGAGTTTTCAACTTCACAGCACTGCTACAGCTTACTGTCCCTGTTAGCATTAAAACAATGCCACTGTTAAGTTTATGTTTGTATTCAGCTTTGAAGCTAATTCTCCTTTTTGCTTTTAAATAGGATTCAGATCTTCGCAGCGCACTTCTGTTGGAGCAGGCAGCCCATTGCTTTATAAACATGAAAAGTCCCATGGTTAGAAAGTTTGCGTTTCATATGATATTGGCTGGCCATAGGTTTAGTAAAGCAGGCCAGGTAAGTATTATCTTTGTGCATGGAAAATATGCCCAGTATTTGATACTTATTCTGAAAAGCATGTTAAATGTGTCATTAGTCTTGAGAAAGATGTTTGACTTCTGACACTTTTGTATCGGCCAGAAGTATTCAGCTCTGATCTTCAGAAAATGACTTCTGCATTGATCAGTGTAGTCTTTTACTTCTATATTTGAAGTAATGCTGGTCACTGACTTGAAACTGATGTGTGTTTTCATTTCTGGGTCTCAATTTTATACACAGTGAAATAGGAGGCTTTTTATTTGTGTAAAGGAGCATTTTTTTACTCTTGAGATGAGTAAGTTGCAGGAGTTAGGGTTTTGTTAAACTCTTCATTTATTAGAATAATAGCAAAATTTAGACACCTGTTTTTCCTGGTGCCTTAACTATATGGTTTTTAGTGGAGGTGCAGGTGTATGAACAGTTACAAGAAAAACTAAAGCAGCTCTTTTTGGCTGCTTAGACTTAAGTAGCAATTAAACCAATGCCAATCAGATTGTTTTTACTTCTATTCACATTCCTGTGCAGGCTGTTCTAACTGTGGTAAATAAACTCAAAGTTTGTTGGACGTAACTTGTGTGCTTTATTTCTGCCACAGTTGTGTGGTAGACTCTTTAAAGATAGCTTGTGCTTGATTGCTGCTGAAGTTAGCCCTGGAGTGCAGTTATGGGGCTGTCCCTGTATACAGTCAGTTTCAGTTTACTGATAAGCTGTAAATCTCTGATAGAAATAAATTTGTATTGCAAATCAATAATATAAGAGAACCCAAGCATCAGAGTTATGTTTGAAACAAAGCCCTATGGTCTTGAGGTGGTGTTCTACCATCCCACCCAATCTCATTTTTATTACCCTGATAAGGACCAAAGCAAGTATTGTCGTATTCTTGGCTTCTGTATTTAAAATCATGGATGTGAAGAACAGTAGGAGCATTTCCCCCTGCCCCTGGTTGTCTTTGTGCGGTAGTTCCCCTGTCTATTGTTATGACAATACAGTACTGACAGGGAGCTATTGATCAGAGGCTTTTAAAATTTATTCTTTTGTATCTCACTCCTTTGCCTGGAAAAGTGCATGCATTTTGTAAAGCTTTGACTTTGTCTTCATGTAACAGCGCTCTCATTTGCGTCTAATTCTTGTAGGGATTCTGGCTTCCAGGGAATGCTTTTTCAGTGTTACAGTAGATGTAGGTTATTCCCTTCACCCCCATCCTTAGAGGCACTAAAATATTAAATGCTACTGAAGTCAGCCAGGCTGCTCAGCTGCATACTATAATACTGTATTTTAAAGTGTCAGTAGTATCTACTGATGTTAAGGATTTACTGCTTGTAATCTGCTGTCATCACCACATCAGTTTGAACATACCTTAAATTTTTCACATTACTGCTGTAAATAGGTGAATGCTGTTCCCTTTATTTAGAAGCTGAGACTTGCCTGTACAATGAGTACCTATGCAGATGTTCAATACCTAGACTTGGGATTGAATGCCCAGGTCCTGATGCATGTACAGGAAAGGAACTGTGGAGCTGACTGGGAGTAGAGCATGTATCTCCCAATGGCTGATGTGATTGGTGATTTTATTTTGTATGTACTGTAGGGCTGTGTTTTGTTGGTTTGCTTGGCATGGGCTTTGTCCCAAGTGTGTCTACTGAACAACAGTTGACTGGAAGTGTCACACTGAAAGTTCAGTTAGAGAAATGAACAAAATGTGTTAAATGTAGCTTATGTCCTGAGGCTTGGCAGTAGAGCTCTGCAGATGTTAGCAGTCAGTCCTAAAGCAATGCAGAACACTATTTTAAAAGTAGTTTTCTTGTTTTTTTTTTAACTCACTGCCTGTTACTCTAGTCTTTGAAAGCATGAACTTAATCTGCAGGCTAGGCTCTGTACTGTAGGAACCAACGCTTCTGTGCTTAGATTAATATTTACTAGATACTATGAGGTATAGTTACGCAAACATTACACTTAGTATAGTGGGAGTGGTGGTGAAAACTTCAGTAACTTTTCTGACTTACTGTGCAATCTTCCTAGTACTGCAGCTACAATGAGTGGTTAATGGGATTATTTGAGAAATAATCTTGCTTGTTGTTTCTTGTAGAAAAAACATGCCTTACGTTGCTACTGTCAAGCCATGCAGGTTTACAAAGGGAAAGGCTGGTCTCTTGCAGAAGACCATATTAACTTCACTATTGGTCGCCAGTCCTTTACGCTTCGTCAGCTTGACAATGCTGTGTCTGCCTTCAGGCATATTTTGATCAATGACAGTAAACAACCTCCAGCTCAGCAAGGAGCTTTTTTAAGAGAATATCTTTATGTTTATAAGGTAAATGGCTTTTCATTTTCTTTATTACTTGAGTAATCAGTAATTTTATTACCAGTAATTTTCTATTAAGTCATTAAATGATTTTCTGGCATACCTTCTGTGTTCCAGGCTTGTTTTTTTTATCTGGTTGATGTGTTCATTTTTTGCTTTAGTCTTCAAAAAAATAAATATGCTGTATCTTATGTTGTAGTATGTGTACTTCCACCAATGGGTATTAGTGTGACACTTTGTATGTGTGTTCATTACAGTAAAATGAACTCTTCCTTTTGAGGGTCATGACTGAATTGCAGCCTGTGGTAGTTCACTTTCTTTTAGAGGAAGTGGACCTGTTTTGTTTTGATCAATTTATAATGATTTTTGAGGCTTTGATAATAAACATATAATAAAGGCTAGGTAGCTCTGTCACCTGGTACTATAAAGTACTCCCCATCCATGTTGTAGTGAGTTTTATTTTTTAATATGGGTTTTTATAGATCAAGCGACTCATCAAGTTGGCTCTAAGTTCATGAGTGATTCTGAATTGTAGCATACTATGTAATCTGTTTAGTGCTGATATCACCACACAACTTGCAGCTCTGTAGTTACTGTCTTAAAGCTTGTAAACAGGATTTCTGTGGTGTTTGCTAAGTTATCTCTCTTACTTGAGAGACCTTACTTGAGACTGGTGTTGAGTCCACAGCTCAGCTGTGGCGAGTGTCTTGGGTGGTGGTGGTGTAGTGAACACAGTTTATCAAATTCTGAGTTGGAAAGTCAAGCTTTGCATCAAATAAAGCTTGTAACAGCCATGTAGCCACAATAGTGATTAAAGTGCTGGGTTAAAATAATTATTCTCCTTTTTTATGAAGTTTTCACAAACTTTAAACTCTTATTGAAGAAAAAAAGTACCATTTCAGACCATCAAAGCAGAAGAAACTAATAAAACAGTTCATTGAAGTGATTCATTCCACCTTAAAAATACTACCTGTTCAAACATTGCTTATAACTTGGCTTCTTTATTCAATCACTGGTAATGTACAGGATGGAAATCATGTATTTGCATAATGGCATGACACTCTTTTCCTCCTTTGCTTAGAATGTAACCCAGCTATCACCTGATGGTCCGTTACCACAGCTTCCTTTACCATATATTAACAGCTCAGCAACCCGTGTTTTCTTTGGGCATGATAGAAGACCAGCAGAAGGTTAGAAAATTTTATGTAAATAGATTGAAGTCCCTTATTTATGAAACCAAAATATATGCAGGAGTTGGTGTAATTTAAAGAAATCTATCATTATGTAAAACTAATGTGACAAGGTAACTTCTTAAATTGGATTTAAAAAGAAAAGCTTAAGCTTAGTATCTACTTGCTAGATGTTTAGACTTTCTGTGTAAATATAAAATCTGCATATGTGGATGTGCTGGCTTCCACTGTTTTTCATAACAGGAAAGCATCAATGCAAGTCTGTAATGAACTTCATGAAAGGGATTTCATTAATGCTTTAGCAAATGCTAGACACTAGCGCTAATGCTGGAAATCAGCTTTACAGTTACCTTTCTCTTGATGAAATGTTTGAAACGCTGATTCCTGAATGTAAAGTAAGCTGAGTGGAAATTCTTATATAAACCGGGGCTGTACTGTGGGGCTGTAGTCTGTCATAAAGTAAAAATAATCTGTAAACTGAGTATACCATGTAGCATGTTAAAATCTTGCAATTCTACAATTTGCAAATAGAATTGTACTCGAATTATCCTCAGTATTGTGTTCCATGTGTGTATTTCAAAAAGCCTTGCAATTCACTGACTTAAATCAATTGTAACACAAAAATGACAGTGACTGAGAGCTTAACATATTTTAACAATACTTACCAAATTGCCAGTGCAGACCTCTTTGTTGCAACTGTTGCATGCTACTGGTCTCATATTCTAAGACTGCCTTACTCATACTAGGTGAAAAGCAGGCAGCTACACACATAAGTCTGGATCAGGAGTATGACTCGGAATCATCACAACAGTGGAAGGAACTTGAGGAGCAGGTTGTTTCTGCAATAAATAAAGGAATACTACCTTCAAACTTTCAGCCAACACAGTTCTGTTTAAATCGCTACTCGGATAACTCCAGATTTCCACTTGCTGTGATAGAAGGTAAAGTTAAGATTTATCCACTTCAGAAATAAAATGAGCTAGATAAATTTGTACAACATGTCCTGTGTTATTGTAGATTTAAACCGATGTTCTTATGCAAGTTGTTAGCACAAGAATGCTTTGAGTTAAGTGAACCTTCAGATTGTGGTGGGGATAGCCTGTTATTATATTCTTGCACTTTTTTGATAGAACCGATAACTGTAGAAGTGTCCTTCCGAAACCCACTGAAAGTTCCACTTCTTTTGACGGAACTTTCATTGCTGTGGAAATTTCAACCTAAAGACTTCAATGCAAAGCATGGTGCAGAAACAAAAGATCTGGTAAGGAAAGCTTCATCCTTTTTCAACCAAAACCAAACAGCTGTGGTTATGAAATATATATTAACTTAATATATATTAACTTTAATATTCAAAATTCTGTAGTATGAAAACAGCTGGTTTAAGAGCAAACTAAAAAAGACCAAAAAAAAAAAGCATTTACTGAATTTCTTTATGCATTGTTTAGATTTTCCTAGATTCATAGGGCCCAAAGCAGCCAAGCTAACAAATATACTGTAATGAGTATTGTAAAGCTTAATGTGAAGCAAAATACTCCCAACATTTCATTGTATGTATAGCACATATATTTTGAGTCACACTAGCCTTGACCAGCAGAAATCACTTGCAATGTCCATCAGTATATTATCAAATACTTTTTTTCTTACTTGAGCTACTGTACATAGTGAAATGTGTGTTCTGAAAAATTGTGTTGGTATGATAGGAACATCTTGGTATCTTGATTGGAAGAAAAACGAAAATTTTTTTGTATCAGAAATTAGTATTTTGAATACTTTAGATAAACTATCTACTACTGTTTAATGTAACGCTTCAACTAATACTGCCAAAACTTCCTTCTGAAGGACTGTTCTCACATACATATTGTTAAGGTTTTAATAAGTTCTAATACTGAGTATTACAGTAAATTCTTAAGGAGTTAATTAATTTGGTTTCTTGGTCAAAAATATTTGGCATATAGTGATCTCTAAAAGTGCTGTAAGTGTTTCCTGGAGTTTATAAACATGGCTTCATATAAATAAGTCTCAAAGATTACTATATACTTCCCTTCTGGTCTGAATTGCTACTTCAGTGATATGATAAATACTTCTGAGAGTATCACTGAAGTTGATTGTGAATGGTTCCAATTTATAGTGATAAATCTTGAGTTTCTTGTAAGTGAATATTTACGGAGCTCTCCAGCTGCTTCTTTAATTCAAAAAGCCTGAGAAGCTGAGCATACAGCACCTGCTGGTACTAACTGTCTGCAGTCTGAAATTTCTGTGTGGTTTTTTCCTTGAACACTTCAGGAAAGGTGTGGGAAGTAATATTTGTGGCACTTTCTGCCTAGTAGTAATAGTATCTGAAAAGCTGTTTCTTCTTTTCAGGGAATGTGTGATGACGATATGATAGGAACTGAAGCAATAGCAGAATTTTTAATTAATAGTGAGGAGACAAAAGTGGTAAGCGCTATATTTTCAGTGTTGAACTTCAGGGTGCAGTTGTTATGATCTGAACTTAATGCTAAACTGATTACTGATATATATGAAGTACTGGCACTTCTGAATCTCATCGTGTGTATAAATATCTGAAGGGAGGATGTGACAGGATAAGAGGCACTGGGCACAAACTGAAGCACAAGAGGCTCCATCTGAACATCAGGAAACACTTCTTTTTTTTAACTGGGATAGTGGCTGACCGCTGGGTGCAGGCTGCCCAGAGAGTTTGTGGAGTCTTCATCCTTGGAGATATTAATAGCCATTTGGACATAGTCCTAGGCAACTGGCTCTAAGTGGCCCTACCTGTGCAGGCAGGTTGGACAAGATGACCTCCAGAGGTCCTTTCCAACTTCAACCATTCTGTGATTCTGCCTCTGCTAAAGTTAATTTTTGTTAAAGTTTAGGGCTCTTTCCTAATGTAATGAGCATCTCAGCTGTGGACTGGTTTGGTAAATACTGTGTATGTGAAATTTTGAACCCAGTAAATGACCTGTAGTTATTGTATGCAATACATGACTGTATAGTCATGTGAGATTGTATACAGACTATTACATCTGACATGACTATAAAGTAAATGTAGCTGTGAGTGTCTTTAGCAATGGGACATTTAGATGTAATAATGCCTTTGTCTAGTAGCAACAACAACAAAAATTTAACATATCTCCACAGGCAAGACTAAAGCTCTTTCCCCATCAAACAGGGGAGCTACATATTCTGGGAGTCGTTTATAATCTTGGCACTGTTCAGGGTGCTGTGACATTAGATGGGTTCGATCCTTCTATTGGATCACAGACGGGTAAGTGTATTATTCTGTTGTCTGTCTCTAGGAGGGGGAGACTTGGCTTCTGCTGAGTAGACTTAAATTTTAGTGTTTAATGTTTACTATCATGATGCAAGGCCTTCTTTCAGGTGAGGATGTAGAAACAAGGGAAACAAGTGGAACAAGAAAAGAGTGAATTGGCACCTGTAGGACTCTCATGAGAAAGGAAACAACCCCTACCAAACCCATTCCTCCTTAATCTGTGGAAATTCTGAAATGATTTAAAATAAAAAACTCCATCTAAACCGTGTTGAATCTATAACAACTTCCATTGACTCTTTTGCCATTCATTTTTCTTCTGGATCTTTTAGCTTTGTTAGCTTTCAACTTTTGTCTAAATATTGCACTGAAGTTCTTTGCATAGATTCCCAAATTTAAATTTGTCAGATATAATTATTTTTTTTTAGTGTCTTGACTTTATTTTGGTCCTCTTTCTTTCATATTAACATATAAATGGCTTACTAATTGCATGCTACTTGATCCGTTTTGTTGAGTCATTCATCTGAAACTGTCTCTTGCAGGGAAAATTTAGTTTTTGTAGGAATCGGGGATTAAAACACATGTTTGAAAGTGTCTAAAAAATAATGAAGCTTGGTTAGCTATCTATGAACTGGAAAACTTTGGAATAAAAAACATTTGGAGAGTGGTGGCCTGTCTTTGAAGGAAATAAAAATGTTTTGGGTGACTTTTTGGGAATGGAAAAAAATACATCACCTTCATGCTCTCCACCAACCTACCCTCTGCCCCTTTGTAGTCAAATTAAAGGGTAGAGTAAGTCCACAACGACGGATAACTGTCTGTCTGAACTTGAATAGCAATGTGTTATGTGTGGCAGTAAGCTTTGAGTAGTTCTTTGTTTAAGCAGCATCACTAACAATGAACACTGCATGTGCCCAATAACAGAAAAATCAAAATTATTTTTGAGATTGGGTAGGGAGCTTTGGGTCACTTCTCAGAAAGAAGTTAGGAATTACTTAAAAAAAAAAAAATTAAACTTTAAAAAAATTGTTTCAGGAAAGTTTGTCTCCAATGGGTTATCTGTACGAGGACGACAAGATTTAGAAATCCAAGGACCTCGACTTAATAACACAAAAGAGGAAAAAACATCCATTAAATATGGACCTGATCGACGTTTAGATCCCATCATTACAGAAGAAATGCCTTTGTTGGAGGTACGTAGCTACTTTCTATGGGCAGTTTTGAGCAAATGGCTGAATCCAGAGCTTATAAATGTAATTCTAACAATGAAGTCCTAGCTTTTGTTAATGCCTAAATTTTTCCAGTTAATTTCTGGTTTGGCACTGACAAACTTGTGTGGGGTTTATTTCAAGTGAAACTTGAAGCTTCCAGATTGATGTCCTTCTGAAATTGTTATATCCCCTTTAGAATTTCAGTTTGCAACAGCTTTTGTAGCAAAATTTCAAGGTGAGGAGGAACAGGAAAAGAAACTTTTTTCGGTTTGCTCTGTTCATCTAGAATAATTCTTCAAGTCGCTTAATTAAAACACAGTGGTTTTCCTTGCGAGGGTTATTAAAATGATCTGACTAACTGGTTAACGACAACTCTATAGGATAGACTATTTCAGTTGGAAGGGACTTGCAATGATAATCTAGTCCAATCTGACCAATTCAGGGCTGACCAAAAGTTAAAGGATGTTATTAAGGGCATTGTCCATATGCCTCTTAAACACTGATGGGCTTGGGGAATTGGCCACTTCTCCAGGAAGCCTGTTTCAGTGTTTAACCACCATTTTTCTCAGTAAAGAAATGCTTCCTAATATCCAGTCTAATCTTCCCCTGGCACAGCTTTGAACGATTCCCACACATCCTGTCACTGGATCCCAGGGAGAAAAGTTCAGCACCTCCCTCTCCACTTCCCCTCCTCAGGAAGCTGTAGAGAGCAATATAGTTTAATTATGTTGGTTGTTTTCATGCCCATTTGTAACTTGGCTCGGTGTTCAGGCTTTTCTTTTCTGCTGTTGTTTCTCCATACAGGTATTCTTTATAAATTTTCCTACAGGGCTTCTCTGTGGAGAAATCAGAAAAGCGTATGTAGAATTTGTGAATGTAAGCAAGTGTCCTCTTACTGCACTGAAAGTTGTGTCCAAGCATCCAGAATTTTTTACTTTTGGTGGAAATACTGCTGTTCTAACGCCACTAAGTCCTTCAGCTTCTGAAAACTGTAGTGCTTACAAGACTGTTGTGACAGATCCTACCTCTATGCGTACAGCACTGCTATCCTCAGCTTCTTCTGTAGACTTTGGGGTTGGCACAGGAGGTCATCCTGAAGTAATACATGTCCCACTTCCTGATGCTGTTCTTCTTCCTGGGGCTTCAGTGCAGCTGCCAATGTGGTTACGGGGACCAGATGAAGAAGGTGTTCATGAAATTAACTTTTTGTTTTACTATGAAAATATTAAAAGACACTCAAAAATGTGGTAAGTTTTTATATACTTTTTTTTGTCGTACTTACTATAAACATTGTAAGCATAAATTTAAATCTGAGTGAATTTATCTCAATTGCTGTGATGTAAAAGCGGCCTGTCATCTGCTACTCTAAGCAATAATTTTTTCTACTATATGATCAAATTTCTGTATGAAATTACATAGTTTACATCAAAGTGGCAGTTATTAAAATAATCTAATAAAAGGAGGATTGTGGCCAGCAGGTTGAGGGAGGGGATTCTGCCTCTTTCCTCTGAGACCCCAACCTGGAGTACTGTGTCCAGCTCTGGAGCCCTCAGCACAGGAGAGACATGAACCTGTTGGAAAGGCTCCAGAGGAGGGCCACAAAAACAGTCGGAGGGATCATGGAACACCACTCCATGAAGACAGGCTGAGAAAGTTGGGGTGGTTCAGCCTCGAGAAGAGAAGGCTCCAGGGAGACCTTATTGCAGCCTTCCAGTATGTAAAGGGGGCTTATGAGAAAGATGAGGACAGACTTTTTAGCAGGGCCTGTTGTGACAGGGCAAGGAGTAACTGTTTTAAACTAAAAAAGGGTAGATTTAGACTTGATATAAGGAAGAAATTTTCCACAGTGAGGGTAGTGAAACACTGGCACAGGTTGCCCAGGGAGGTGGTAGATGCCCCATCCCTGGAAACATTCAAGGTCAGGTTGGACGGGGCTCTGAGCTACCTGATCTAGTTGAACGTGTTCCTGCTCATTGCAGGGGGGGTTGGACTAGATGACCTTTAAAAGGTTCCTTCCAACGCAAACTATTCTATGATTCTATGTTTAATAGAATGCTCTTAATACAGATTCTGTTTGTATTTAGTTTCTCTGGAAGCACATCTTCCTGAGGCATGGGGGGAAAAATCATTACTTAATTTATTTCTGCATGTTATTAAACAAAATCTTGTCCACTTTGAACAAAAGATTTTGTTCTTAATTAAAGTGTGGTTAGTAGTTGTATTATGACAAAAGTTACTCCGGAGGGGTCAAATACCTAGTTTGTCTTCCATGCTTGCATGTTGTATAGTTCCTTTTTGGACCATCTTGAGAGTATGGACAATCACATTTGACACTACAAGCTAACAAATAGTGCTTTCTTTGAACTTTATTTGAAATGTAACAAGTTGATGTTTTATGTCACTTATTCTCAAGTTCCATCCGTATGCCAGGCTAAGGCGGTTCAGGAGAGAACTTTTTTGGGAAACCGGTTCTTCAAAGATTCTGGGGTGTAAAGGCATCTCTTCAGAAAGTGATCAGCTTTCAGGAAGCCTTACTGTAGCAATTGAGTAAACAGTGAAATTCAGAAATGAAGACTGTCTCTTTTTACCTGTCTCTGAGTCTTCTGCAAATACTGTTCTTACATTGCTACTTTACAGCTGTTAGAGCTCAAAGCTAGAGCTGAGAAAAAGTTGCCACAGGCTTTATATATTTAGTTTTTAGCCCACTAAGAATACTGGCCACAGACTTAATAAATGTTACTATTTAATTTTCTGGGAGAGAAATTTATTATGGAGTGCTGGGTTGGTTTGTTGGGCAAAGATAAATTCTTCAACCTTAAGAAGCAGTAGAGACTAGGGAGAGTGGATCTGTAATCAGTGCTGTGGGGAGCTGGTGGTGTGGTTTAACCCCAGCGAGCAGCTAAGCACCATACAGCTGCTTGCTCACTCCCCCTTGGTGGGGTGGGGAGGGAATTGGAAGGGTAAGAATGAGAAAACTTGTGGGTTGAGATAAAGACAGTTTAATAGGGAAAGCAAAAGCCACGCACACAAGCAAAGCAAAACAAGGAATTCATTCACCACTCCCCATGGGCAGGCAAGTGTTCAGCCATCTCCAGGGATGCAGGGCTGCATCACACGTAATGGTTACTTGGGAAGACAAATGCCATAACTCCAAACGTCCCCCACTTCCTTCCTCTTCCAACAGCTTTGTATACTGAGTATGACATCATATGATGTGGAATATCCCTTTGGTCAGTTGGGGTCAGCTGTCCCAGCTGTGTCCCCTCTGAACTTCTTGTGCACCCCCAGCCTAATAACTGGTGGGGTGATGTGAGAAGCAGCGAAGGCCTTGAGTCTGTGTAAGTGCTACTCAGCAGTTAACGAAGACATCTGTTATCAACACTGTTTTCAGCAACAATCAAAAACAGCCCCATAACAGCTACTATGAAGAAACTATCGCAGCCAAAACCAGTACACCCAGTCTTTATACTACATATATTCAGGATACCTCAGAAGGAGCTCTAGTCACATGGACTGAATGTCTGCTTGTGGCTAGAGCTTGTTTTCCCGGCTAGTTCTGAGAAAGAAACAAACTTAATATACTGTGAGACTGCTCCATAATCTAAACCAAAGTTGAGTAAGTTGAAGGTGGTTCAAGCATATTCTTGAAATTAAACTAAAAGTTGTTGAAATGCACTGTTTGTTTAGATTTTTCTGTAGCTTCTGAAATACCAACGTTAACTTTTTCATTTGGTTTTAAGCTAGTCTGTAGGAATAGGGCATCCGTCCCCCTGCAATGTAGTTATTTTTTTCTTCTCCCCCTTTTTTTTTTAAGAACAGAACTTAATTTTCCTCTGAGTTCATAGTATGCAGAAAGTAAAGTGTTTCGGAGGTGGCAGATGGTTCACTACTGTATTGAAGTTTCCAGGGGAATTTAAGCGATGTGTTCTTGCTAACAGTACACTTTGTAGACTGAGCATAACTCTTAGATTTAAAAAAAAATTATTTGTGCCACTTGAAAGCTATACAGACATCTGTATATCTTTCTGAAGATTAACTGCAAAACAGTTAAGTTTATCCTGTAAATTGTGACATTATGTGAATTACAGTTTAGGAAACCGCTGATTTCCCCTCCCAAAACAAATATTGCATGATGCTTCACCATATTTATAGGGCATGCATATCAAGTTTTGACATGCCTGTAATGTTTCCAAGTGGAAGTTTGGTAATAGAAAGATTCTACATGGGAAAAGCTCTTGTGTTTTGGTGGTGTCCAAAAATGGATGTTTACTCATCATTAGAAAAAGAGGAAGATAACTTTTACAAAGGGCTAGCTGGCCTGGAGGTTGAGCATGTCTGGAAAAAGGCACATGTGCCTTAGTGATGGTAAACTTTTCAGGATTCTCAGTTCAGGGGAATTTGTTGAATGCAGTGGTATTCTATCTAAATGCTTTTTAGTAGATGTTTATGCAGGAGGTGTGACTAACTAGTGGGCCTTTTATGATTTGTTTGCTCAAACTATTTTCCAAAGCATGTGGCGGCATTAAATAGCTTAATGACATCCCTGTGCCAGTACATGCCTGTTTACTTTCACTGTGCCAGTTGTCTTATATAAAAGAAATACTTAGGATGTATTTTTTGTCACGGTAACATAGGAACCTTTTCCCCCAGTATTTCAAACTGGTTAAGAGACTGCGTGTTTGAACAGCACCTACCCATGCAGCATGATTATTAAAAATAATACAGTTTTTATAGGAGACTAAACCAAAAAATGTCTCTTCAGTGACTGAAAGGAATAAATTGTCTAATGGCCTTAGTACTGATGGCAAACATAAAAACTAAACTTCTTGATCATAGGTTCTGGACAGCAGTCCTGTTTGTTCAGAATGTCTTAATTTCGTTTTTCCTTCCTTCCTTCCTTCCTTCCTCTCCTTCCTAGTCATAGAGTATTAAGGCACACTGCAGTTATTTGTACTAGCCGGTCTCTGCATATTCGAGCTACTGTCTGCAGAAGTAATGCGCTTGAAGATGAAGAAGGCAGAGGGGACAATATGTTGGTGTTTGTGGATGTAGAAAATATCAATACAGTAAGTTCTTATTTTTAATAGTAATACTGTTCTAAAGCTCAGCAGGTGTGTGTCACCAGTAGAACCAAGACTTAAGTAAAAGGGGTTTTTTTACAACTACTTTGCCAACACTAAGTAAACCTTGCATATTTAGTTATTCCAGTTACTGTTGGAAAGAGAATGCTAACATTAATTTATATCGCAGTGCTTTGTAACTCCGCTATGATTATCTCTATCCTAAGCAAATTCCAGTACTGTAGTTCAGAGTCGTTTTCTTTTAGGAAGACTTATTCCAAATTCCTGAATATTCTTGCTGATCACAACTTTCAAGGTAGTTCTGAATGAGATAACTTGTGCCCTCCACAAGCTTTCAGTGAAAACACTGGTAGCATTAGTGGTAATGTGAAGTCAAATTTTAAGCTCCAACTTGAAGGAAGCTTCTCTGTTAATGTTCATTACCAAATTCTAAAAGACATTTTTGCAAATATAATCCAAATACAGATATGTCTGTTGTGATCTGTTGACTTAGCAAAACAGATGAAAATGTATCATTGTTTTCATACCACGCTACTTCAAATTTACTCATTTTTTGCTAAAGCTGTTCCCATTTTTTTCAATCACGAAGTAAGGTAATTAAATCCTCTGTTTATAGAATTCCTAGACACTTAACTGGTAGTGGAGTCACTGAGCTGATTTGTCATTTTGTTTTAAAGGTGTGTACACTCTGTGTTTTTCTTCAGCTACTAAAGTGAATGTTGTCCACTCTTTCTTTAAGGAGGAAGGAGTGTTTTATAAAGTACTTACCAAGTTAACAGATAACATGGTGTGAGACTTAATTTTCCACTACCACCTCACGCTTTCCAAGAAAGAAAACCAACCCCAAAAGCTACTTTTCATTGTGTATATGTTTTAAAAAAAAAGTTCTTGAATTTGAGATCTATGATTTAGTAATATTCCTAAAGTAATCTTAGAAACTAAGTGGCCTTGCAGACAGTGTTCTGCATTGGAGTTAAAAGCCTAGGTTTTATTATAGTAATCTTAATCTAAAATACTAACTTGTGGGTATTTTTCTGGGGGATCTTTGTTTCTTCTTCATGTGGCTTTGTTTACTGGAATTGGAAGTTGCTGTGAGCTGGGACTGTTTTATGTTACAGTGGGTCTTAATTCTCTTGTCTCTCCTTAGTGGATTTATGGATGATTTTATTATGGATGGTGTGAATAATGAGTTAAATTAAGTTTCTAACAGTGCCATCTTGCAATGAACATTCACTACGCAATTGTGGTTGGTCTTATTTGACATAATTTTTGTTTCTTCCTTAGAGTGAGACTGGTGTTAAAGAATTTCATATAGTGCAAGTTTCAAGTAATAGCAAACACTGGAAGCTTCAAAAATCTGTTAACAACTCTGAAGATAAAGGTGTGTATCTTTCAGGTTGAAAGGTCAGGTTGGACGGGGCTCTGAGCAACCTGGTCTAGTCGAAGATGTCCCTGCTTATTGCAGGGGGGTTGGACTAGATGATCTTAAAGATGATCTTCCAACCCAAACTACTCTATATTCTTTATCACCAAAAGAATGGCAAGTCTAGCTTCTGCCTGACAAGAAAAGTTAAAAGAATCTTACAAGGAGTTGAATTTGGATTTCGGAATAATTAATTTCTAAAAACTTTATATCCCTTTCAAACATACTACAGTCCTTTTGTTAGTGTTTCAAGAAAAGTACATTGACAGATAACTTTCAGACTTCATAAATTTTAACAATGGATTCAACTTCCAGGTAAATTATTTCTGTGGTGTAGAGAAATTCATATTTGAATTGGCTGATAACTTGCCTCACAAGAAATATGTTTCAGTATTCCTTTACGTTTAGTTATTTGTCAGTGTTAAATTTAACTGCTCAACAGCGTATTTGGTAAGTGCTCTATTTGCTTACTAGGAATATACCAGAATTGCTAGTGCTGTATCCTGCCTTAGCTAATAAAAGCTGCTAATTTTTGAAAAGGCTAACTATCCCAGGCAAAATAACAAGTGCTGTTATTGTATCTAGCAAATGTTATCTTTACTTGTATGCTGACATTTTATGTACTTAAAAATTAGTCTAGGTGTGTATTCCTCTTGTATTAATATTGGGGGTGCATCAGTCAGATAAACCAGATCACAGAAATCACAGAATCAC